GACTAATTCCGTGAATTTCGGCATTCGCGTGTTTTCTAAGGTGCGTTCCCACGCTCGCCGCGTCTTTTTGTCAAGTTTACGTACGATGATATATGCTAAGATGGAGTTCCACATTTCCACGGGTTCTTTTAGCGCCTTTAGGGCATTGACATGCATTAATGCGGTCTCCTTTAATGCTTGTATATTCAGCGGAGATTTCTGGCAATTCTAGAATCGCTCTTATGTGTGTCTGAATTATTTGACGCGGCCTATCACAACGCTGTTTAAGTAACTCCCAAGCTACCTTGTAATTTTCTTCTGATGCAGTCAGTGGCTCAATTATTGTGGCTACACTACCGCGCAGAGAATTTTTTAACAAATAAAACTTCTGTACTGCAGGAATATTAACATCGTTATGTACTAATGACTGAAACGTGTCATGGAAGCTGTACCAATCTATGGGATTGCCGTCAAACGGACGGATTTCGATTTTAGGCAATAACGTGTTGCCGTGATTGATAGTGATATTTGAATTCCTAGTAGAACCCGAATGTGAAGACGGAGTACCTGGTTCAGAGGTTGTCTGATTAACTGACAGCGCGCGAAGCCGTTGATTTATAACCTTTGCGCATTTAAAATAGTGCTCCTCAAATCGAGACCTTTCCAATTCCTGATCTGAATCAAGCTGTGTTTCTTCGGCCAGTATCTCTATTTCTAACTGAGTTTTCAAAAAGGCTTGATAACTTTCCTCTAGTTTTGTTTTACGCGTTTCTATGTCATCGATGTCCACCTCCGCGCTTTCGCTGAAGTACCCGATTAACCGCGTTACATTCCCTTTGATAATTGCACGAGTTTTAATTAACGATCTAAGTTGTGCAGGGGCAGCCATTTTGTTCCTTTTAATTTGTCTTTAAAATACTTAATTTCGAATCGACTGGAAATGTATGGAATACTGGAAGGATGGAGTACAAGGTGTAACAGGAGATTCTCTAAGCTTACTTGACTGTTGCTTCCTGACGTTATGAAGAAGAAATTTGCTTCTCCACTGATGTTGACTGGTTACTTTCCAAACGGGACGTCCGTGCAATGGCCTGGTATTTGACGTTTCCACAACGTCGTTGATGATCGTGGTCACGTGACAAATTATTTGTTTTTTACCACAGATTGTTTTCCCTCAATTTTAACACGTATTCACAGATTATAACAAGCACAACAATTGCACTGTTTATTATGTGTTACACTCGGAGTGACGTTCACTTGAGTTTGTTCGACCTCGTTTACACGGTTCCGTATCTGGCTCCAAGGACCAATGTCTAGGCGTGAGCAATTTAACAATTTGTAGTGTGAAAGAGAGTCTTTCGTGTATGCTCACTTCAAACGTCAACGTTTGTTGAAATTGAATACTGGAATGTGGTGAAAGAATGATGTCACGAGTATACATAACACTTAAACTTTAAATTTATTCTACAACTGTTGAATTAGAAAAACGCGTTAGACTGGTGATAATAATTTCTGTGTTGAATAGCTGATAGTTTTTTAGAATCTCTCGTCCTTTGAAGGAAGTCGTGCTTAAATAATAAATGCGGACACGTGAAAATGGGAATGACGATGTCTGATTGTAGTTTTAATTTGGTAGGGGAAGCCGCCGTGACCCTCAGGTACTGCAAGTACCTTCGAGTGGCATGTGTCGGATTTTCCCCATGCCTTAACCGTAGCAGGTAATATTTTATTAGTTGCCCTGACTCGGCCAAGGTAAATGAAAATTAACACGGCCGAGGTAAAATTCTTAATCCTACTACAAAAGGGGCAATCGTCGCTATACATTCAAAGAAGGTGAAATATGCACAATGGTTTTACTTATAATTAGTTTTACGCCTTAACACCGATTACCCGAGTATTTCACGAGTAACCCGGCTACCTCTTAAGTAACAGCTCTAATTCTAACGCAATAAAAAAAATTTCAAAACGGCCCAATCAAAAGTATTTCCATAGTTCGTCGCAGCGAAAGGGTTAAAGCAAGAAATAAATTTCCGAACGAATCTAAACTCGGTTGCAATTCAATCTCCCCGTCCAATCACTTTCCATCCCCGTGTCTCCTCCTCGTCTAAGCTCGATGTTTTCCCAGGTGAACGTTGAATCGCGAGATCCTCGTTACATCTCCGAGGAATTCTGCCGGCCCCCTCATTCACCTCCGTTGGCCGACCTACTGTCGGATGAATCGCGACGGACGAGTTACCGCGATTTTTCCCGCACCAGAGAACCCGTACGGGGATCTAGTTGCCAGGCAGGATTAAACGAAGTTCACGTTCCTAAAGTCGCTATTACCCGTGACACGTAGAAAGTTTATAGCCCAGAAAGAGGAACGAAGAGGGTGAGGATCACTCTCTCTCTCTCTCTTTCTGGATCGATTTTGGCCGCCTCATGGCTCTACCCTGGCCTTCCTCTTCGCTTCTCAGTCGAACGTCTGTCGTTTTCTCCTACCACCCACCCCTCCCGTTCCCTCAACGTTATGTATAACGCTTACCCCTGGAGTTTGCCCCGGCCAACAGCCCCGAGAAAATGTAATTCCATCGTACAGTCGAACTTTCAGCTTTAATGTTTGCCCGATTTATCGTTGGACCGACTCGCAAGCCAGCTTCGATCACAAAAGGGATTCACCGAGATTGTCCTTGTTTTTCAGCGTGTTTATCGCGGAGGAGGGTGAAGGAGGGACGACGTGCGTGTTAAACAGCCTGTACACGGTGATTGGATGAAGTTTCTGGATGGATTTGTTGGTTCGGGAGATTGTTCGAGGATTGTCTCTTTTGAAACTTACGTTTTAAGGTAGGAGGTATGGTTGGTGTAAGGGTATTGTTATTACGAAATGTTTGTTGCGTTCATTGAACGTTCTTATGTACTTCTTATTGCTTTTAATTTGTCGATTTTTTCTATTTTTCTAATTTTCCAGGTGGATTGGGAATTGTTCTTCGTTTTTAGGTACTTCACGCATAGAGCTTTGGAAATATGATTTTTCAATCCCCTTCTCGACTTTTTCAATATAAGACAGATGACTCGCTTAACTCTCCCCACGAATTTTCAAAAACGCCTTTTCTCGAAAACTCGCGAATTTTCTGCGTATAATCACAGATAGAATTAACACTAAAATAGAGCAGATTTTCTCGTTTCATTTAATTCTCTCCACGAACTTTCCAACCCCTTCTACACTTTTCCCCATATAATCACAGACGACAAAAATCCCAGATAAATTTCCTCTCTCCCCCAAATTTTCAAAAATACCAAGAAACCCAATACAGAAGACCCCATCGTCCTCCAATATTCCACAAAACCAACTTAATCTATCGCGCTTATCGCTTAATATAATACTTTTCCTTAAAGCTAACTTAATCTAGAAGGCAGTCTTATGTGTATAGAAAGGCACTTAGAAAACTATACATTTTTTTGGTTTCTTTACAGCCGCAAAATTGGGAGGGGGAAGGGAAGGGAGGAGGAAGGGAAAGGGGAGTAGGAGTATATACTTGTTATTTTATGCTAGTTTGCTTTTTTTTTTTTTTATCCTCTAACTTAACATTACGTGTTTGTGCTAGTTCAGGAGAACTATGTTATGCTCAGAATGTAGTATTTTATGTGTACGTTGAACTAGTACGATTATACACACTCACTCTCGCGCATTCAAACACCCATTCATACACCCATTCATCCATAATCGCACGCCTATATGTTTGTACGTCCATAGGCTTATACATATGTCTACATATTTACAAGTTACATATAGTATGAATGATACCGAGTTTAGGAAGAGAGAGAAATAGAAAATTAAATAAATAGAATACTAGCAGTGATAGATAAGAGAGAAACAGGAAAAAATAAACATACTCCCCGGCGGGGAATCGAACCCCGGTCTCCCGCGTGACAGGCGGGGATACTAACCACTATACTACCGAGGATTTGAACGGTAGTGTTTTTTATTAAGGCCTATTTGAATGAGATTTGTGTTTGTGTTTTGTGTTTGTTGTGTTAATGTAGTAACCACCAATATCTTTTTGTGTTGCGGCGGTGTGCGTCTGTTTTGTCGATTTTTGAGAGTTTACAACTAAGTCTTGTGTTTATGTCGTTGTCTTGTATGTCTGTTGAATACAGAATTTTTTTGTCGTCTGCTTTCCGTGTGGTATGGTAAATAAGTGGTGTGTTGTCTTTGTCCTGTATGTATCCTTCGCTGTCTAGATGAATAAATGCTTCGGGTGGGATGTAGCCGGTGTGTCGTGTTTTTTCGTGGTATTGTGTATTGGGATATATGGAGCTATTTATTAAACTATTGCTTTTCACGCTTCTAATGTTTGCCCAGTGGTTTCTGATAAGTTTTAGTATATGAAGATCTATTCTAATGATGTTGGCGAGTTCGTATAGTTTGTGGTTACTGATTAGTTTAGTGTAATTTGATTCAGGTGTCCTGTATTTACCTATGCAAGCTCTGAGGCATTTGCGTTCAAATATTCTAATTTTTTCCATCGTGCTTGCAGAGATGTTGAACCACGTGGGGCATGCGTATGTCAAAATGGGTCTAATTAGTGTTTTGTAGCAAATTATTTTTGTGTGTGTGTTCAGGTCTTTGCAGTAAAACAGTCGTTTGTGGCTAGCAAATGCTTTTTGTGCTTTTTCAATTTGTGTATTGATGTGATTGTAATAGTTTAGTTTGTAGTCTATGTGTACTCCTAAGTAGCGAACAGTGTTTCTGTTTTGAAGTTTAGTCTGTGGGTTGCGTGTGTCATGTAGGTGGAAGTGTTTTGTATGTCTGCGTACGTCTGCGTTTGCGTTCGAGATTTTAGATATGTACGGTCTGAACAGTATTGTTTCACATTTGTCTGTGTTAATCTTCAGCCTCCAGGTGTGAAAATAGTCCTGAATTTTTGTGAATATGTCTTGTAGTTGTGTTTTTATGTTTGACGGTTTACTGTCTTTAGTGTATATTAGTAGATCGTCTGCAAAAGCTATTGCAAATTTGTCGGTGTCGTTGTTGAGTCCGTACATGTTCAGTAAGTCGCTTATGAATATGCTAAACAGGATGGGTGAATTGACCGTGCCTTGTTGGAGTCCGTTTTTAATTTGAAAAATTTCAGAGGAGGCGTATGTTTTTTCCGCCACTCTGAATTCTTTTCCATGAAGCATGCTCCAGATCATTTTGGTCAGATGTTGCGGGAACCTCTTTTTTAACAATTTGAAAAAGAGGCCGTCCCACCAGACCGTGTCGAAAGCTTTCTCGAGGTCTACGAAGAGCGCCCCGACGCATTCGTCGGCGTTCCTCGCCCAGCAGATATCTGATATGAATTTAGTGATGGCGTGTGTTGTGGAATGCTGGTGCCTGAATCCGAATTGCGTCTCTGGGATAACGCTATTCTTATCACAGTACTTCCATATGGCGTTATTGATTGTTGTTTCGAATACTTTACTGATGTTTGCGAGTAAACTGATTGGACGGTAGTCAGTTGGATTACTACCATCCTTTCCTTTTTTCTTTATCGCAATTAGTTTTGCTGTTTTCCAGGCGGTGGGGAAATACATGCAGTTGAGGCAGTTGTTGAATATGATTGTATAGTTATATGAATAGTGGAGTGGGAGGTTTTTGAGGGCTATGTTAGGGACGTTGTCGAAGCTGGAGGATTTTTTGTTGTTCAGTTTTTTTAATGTCCGTATTATTTTAGTGTGGGAAGTAAAATAGTCGGGGGCAGTTTTGTCTTCGTCCGGGTTGTCTGCTGTATTGGTATTGTTGAATGTACATATCGTTCTATTGTGAGTTCTGTCTTCGAGTATTTCATGTTCTAGTGTGGCAATTTTATGTTTAATGATGTTGGTGAGTTGTTGTTTGCCCATGTGTTGGTTTTGTGTGTGAACTGCTTCAAAGTGTGTGCCCAGTACATTTAATTTTTGTTCTGTGTCTGTGATTATTATATTGTTTTGTGTGTCTGTTTGTTGAGTGATGGGGATTACGTTGGTTTTTTGGAAAAGGTGTATATTAGTCAGTGGTATTTTAAGGGTTTCTATGTTGTTGCAGTTTCTATGTCGAAATATGCTGTTAATTGTAGGGAAGAATTTACTGGAGTTTCGTGGGGATATACCGGATATTTTCTTTTTCCAGAAACTGTTGACTGATTCGTGGAAAGCTTTTTTTAGTTCGTTACGGGTTGTTTTTAGTATGTCTTTGTATGCTGCTATTAATGTATCGTTTACGTGTGTGTAATTCTCTGGTTTTGTCAGTCTGTTTATCTGTGTGAGTAAGTAGCTTTTTTGTTGACGCAATCTTTTGATGTGTGGAGTTACGTACTTGTCGGCTGAGTTTCGGTTGTTTGGTATTCGTGGTGTTGCTTGGTCGATTGCGTTGTTAATGTGGTTGCTGAATTTGTCAATGTATTCGTCTATTTCGTCTATCGTTAAGTTTCTGTTGTTCGGTAACATCGTGTCGTCCGTTTTTACTAGGTAATTTTTGAATTTTGACCAATCGGTTTTGTTGAAGTTAAGTTTGTCGGGTGTAACAATTTCGTCTATTTCCAGGATATGCATTGTCGGGATGGAGATTTGTATTTTAACCGCTCTGTGGTCGCTGTCGTAGTCGAAAGAGTCGAGTGTTTTGTGGCTGGGTGTGTTGTGAAATTTGATCCGATTGTCGGCTAAGCAG